GGACAAAACTGGTTTCCATCCACAAGTGTCAGCACATTAAAATCAAAGCTTTACTCTGAGAAGATTCTACTGTCAGTGAAACCAGAGTTGTTCATAGGCATAAGGTACAGCTCAGAGCAAAATGCCAAGATCGTCACAGGACTTCCTGCCCTTAGGGAAGACACATGCTCCCATTCTACTCAGACCTTGGCAGCATGGCTTGGTGCCCAAACCACTGGCTTACAGGATACTCTTGTGGAGCTCCTACACTCTTCATAAATCCCTGCACATTCACTGGAATAGGAACATCTTCCACAAGGCAGCAGAATGCTATGTACCATTAAGCACTAACATCAGTGTCTCTAATCACCTGTCACAGAACTTCACTAAATCAAGTCGTTGACTCCAGCATTTCCAGTTAGAGTTACAAAAAATTTTCGAAGGACAATTCACCAAGTTGTTGTAATAGTTCACTAAGTTTACTGTCCTTTTATCATGTCTACATGTCTGACTATATTTCTATTTGGATCTTTAACTTCAAGCAATGCTAACTGTATAACAAGAGGCTCTCACTCACCCATTTAAGGTGACTGAAATGACAATAGAAAAAAATCTCATCCAGTAACCAGATAACTTGGAACATGGTATTTGTGATGTAAAAACTGTAAATTCTTAGTCTCAAAAAATGACAACCTGATCCTGCTATGTTGATAGACTTTAAAAATTGCCCATTTGTTCATGCATTGTTTTCTTGGTGACTAATCCACCAAGTGGACCAATCAAGTAATGTTCTGATTCATTCTGCTACACCATTTTCTATCACCATAAATTTGGTCTATCAAGTTAATCCTGTAAGGTCCTACCAGCCAGGCTTTTGGGAAAGGGGGCTGGGGGGACAGAGCTACCTGTCTTTAGCAACATGACCACTACCACATACTTCTTTGCATTTTTCTAGTGATAGACTTCAGCTTGATCCCTGAGGAGATGGTGTTCAACCTCAAGACCAAAAGAAAACCAGTGGAGTTTGAACTTACATGCTGATAATAAGATATGAAAGTGGAATGTAAAATAACTTACCCCAAGAATCAGGAGGACTAGGTCATACCCAGATGATCAACAAACACATGGGCATAAGATATTGAAGGTACAGGAACATAGGTGAAGGAAGGCACATAACATAGAAACGCAAATTTTTGCTGTTTAAAATGTGGTTTCTCAAAAAAGCACAACGGACTTCACCGTGGAACAGCACAGCATACCAAAAGAGAAGAGAGGCATGCAAAGAGCGTAAGAAAGAGAAGACAAAGGAGAGGAACTAGGAAGGAGCTACCACCAATGCACATACTAGTAAGGCAAAACTGAGCATGGACACAAGATGGATAGTCTAACACTGAGGGCACACAGGTCCTTTGGCTCAGCTGACCTTGCTAATGGTTATGTGGTGGCCCTACTATCAGTCTGCTCACCTCTGTCCCTCCTTCTGGTTATGGCACTTACCACTATTACTTAAACATTAGGCAAAGAGGGAGAGAAGCACGGATGGGAATACTGCAATGTTTTTGCAGTTATTCCAATTTCTCTTCTAGTCAGCTGCTCATCTGAGCATGACTTAGGTATAGATGCAAGAGGGGAAAACCAGTCATTAACAGCTTCTTTCAAAGGAAGGATAAGAGCAAAAGGAGACATGTGAAGGACAAAAGAGCTAAGAAAATCCAGCTCTCTATCCAGACTTTTGTTAAGTCCCTCAGCAGCAAACAAGCCATCTTTTAGCCCTTAGCTGAAACTAGCTTACGTTTTGCTATGCTTTAACAATTCCAAGATAGCTCTTGTCCCTTGATACAATATCAAAAAATTTGCACTCAAAACAGCAATTGCTGTAATAATAACAATACTTACATTTCATTATTTAACCTCATGCTATTCATTCATGAGGATTAGTGCTTAATTAATTAACAACACTTAGCATTTCCACTCAGCGCTTTACCTCTTCAAAGCATCATACCAACACTACCTAATTAAGGGCAGAGCTCCACAGACACTTCACATCAGGACTTCCCTTTGACAGCTCTGCATCCAAGACTTGCCCACATCGTGTAGCATGAATTCAAGTTGAAAGCCCTACTAACTTCATCAGGAACGAGGTAATGCCCTAGTTATCAAGAGACTATCTTTGCAATTTCCTTTTCTTTTCCTCTTGCTTCTGGTTGCTTGCTATTCACCCAGGGATTTAATTATTGGCTAATGTGATGGATGATAATGTGAACCTTGTATTAGTGTTATCTACAAAACTCTCATTCTTCTGTTAGTGAAAACCTCATTCTCAGTCACCTGGTTGAACTGCCTTTGGATAGGAAATGTGTTAACCACAAAAACAGATTATAAAATGACAAGCGAGAGTTTTTAAGGGAGATGGTGCTTTCAATCCATCAGTCAAATGCCTGCTATGAAAGTGCCTTTCTTTCAAGCACCCCAGGATGCTACACAACATCAATAGACAATATAAACACAAAGCTTTTATGGTTCACTTTACAATTGGACATTGACTCTGAGCCTGTGAAACAGAAAGGAATTGAATTTCATGACCAAAGAGGATAATGTGCACAAGATTAAGTAGACAACACTGGTAGAAGCAGGAAAGCAATATGGCATTGGATGCTGATAGGGAGATTAAATTTACAGATAAGAAACCAAAGGAATAAAAAGTAAAAATCTTATAAGTAAAATCTTATAAGCCACTCATTACTTCATACCACTATTTCATATCCACTGGTTTTTTTCCAGAGGATCAAAAATACTGATGGATTTGTTCAGATCCCAATAAATGACTGGGCCTTGACTCTGAGAACAGAACAAAGAGAGCCCTAAATATGTAGTAGCTCCAGCCAAGGGAATTATGCAGACAGTAGAGAAATAAACTTCTGATGCAGTCAAATGAGAAGAAAAAGAAAACATTCATCACAGTTCAAGAACTTGTCTAGTGTCTCAGAGGATGTCTTCACAGGGCAGTGGCTGGCAGGGCAGCAGCCTAGGGCTGCTGCTGATCAAACCTGCTCCAGAGGAAAGCAAGAAATCCAATACAGCAACTGGCTTCCAGCTCTGAGGGGTGCTGTGGTGTGTCACATGCACATCACAGCTTGCATCAGCTTGGTCAAATAGCTTTCTCAGGAAGCCCGTCTTGCCAGATGAGCCACAGCTTGATGGATATTAGAAATTTAAATGGCTTGGTTCTTTGAAAACTGATTGCCTTGAACAGAATCAGACCCAACCATTTTGACACTGAAGTATTCCATAAGGATAACTGTGTATTACTATCTGCAGTGTCTTTGTGCCCAAAATAAGCTGTGTTAGTGTTACTGCTAAAAAATCCCAAGAGTTTAAAATAAAAAAGACAGCCTTTATTATCCCTTAATGGAATTTCATTTAAGCTGCAGATAGATGAGGCCCTTATTGCCATATTCACCCTTAAGCTGAGGGTCAGATACTCATCCTAGACTTTTCTGGACATGTGTTTAGAATTCAATATTTGCCTTTCATCTACCCCACTGCCCACAAATTCTTCTCCCCTCACTCAGCTTCAGCTTCAATGCTACAGTATTCCCTTGCCACCAGTTACCACCGTCCAGGACTCCCTTGTCTCAGACAACAAATGAGCTAGCTAGCCCCCAGTGAGCTGACCCCTAAGCTCTCTATCACTTGGTTACCTTGCAGCCCTCTCTACTATTTACCATGTAGGATCCATCCCAGACCCCTTCCAGCCTGCTCTGCTTCTGCATTGGTTAGGGCTGGGTCTATTGTATACTGTATATGGCTACATTAGGTAAATCATGCACCTTTCTTATTACAAGTTTCCTAAAATGTAATGCTCAAATCAAAACCATCCACTGTGGTTCAGGGGAAGATGCCTGTTAATTAGCACATACATTGGATCGGACCATTAACAAATGCATTTGGAAGCTGCTATGGAAGCTGATTTAAGTTATTATCTAGGTAACTTCTTCTGTTTCCAGTACAAAGCTGTCACATGACCCCTTCTGATCACTTTTGTGTTTACATTTGCTGTGCATCTGTTCCAGCATCTCCAAGCTCTGATGTGTTGGAAGAACACACAATGAGATACTTCCTGACTGGGGTCAGCTTCTAGGGAACTCTGCCAGGTGTGGCTAAAGATGTGAATCAAACACAGGCATAAAAACAAATTGGTAAAGACCAAAACCTGGCATTTGGAAGGCAGTTCTCTCCTTTGGTGTATGACCAAAATAAATTTAGATTACTTACATAATTTGGATTTTACCTTTCATTTTGCTGTTTTACTCAGCCTATACAATAAACCAAGTTGGTCTGTTTAGTCTGCCCCATGGGGTGTTGGGGTTTCCAGGTTTCACAGGACTGGGGAAATTCTGCTGTTCATAGTAAGAGGTTAGAGAGGGAGATGGCCACAGAGTAGTCAGAAACAGATCCATGGTGGTCATGAATGTAAGTTCCAGCATGTATTTCCTCCCAGCTTCCAGTATCTAATGTCACTGGGACAATTTATACTTTTTGGCTATCACAGCATCCTACAGCAGTGAATTTCACAAGTGATATTGATTGCACTAAGTAGTCCATGTGCTTCCCCTGTTGCTTCATCAGAAGAAAGTGTTCCTGCTGCTGCACCACTATGCTGGTGCATAGTATTAGCCTTGCAATTTAGCCTGCACAGGGAGTGCTGGATGGACTGTTTGATGACTGGGAGTACACCACATCCTAATCTGCCTACCTAGTGAAACTGCTTAGTACTAGGGTTAATAATGAAATATAGGCCAGCTGAAGCAACCTTTAAAGAGCTTGGTATGCTCCAGAGCAAATATGATTGAGAGTGATACTAGCTATATGTTTCACTAATTTTATCACTATGCCTATTCTAAGCACAGCCTTTTAATTAATTGATTCTTAGGACTTGATATAGACAGTACTGAAATATTTTTGACAACAGCAGTTTCACAAGTAACATTACTCATCCCATCTCAAATCAAATTTCTCACCTTTGTGGTCCACAATTTGACTGTCCAGTCAAATGATGATGTGACAAAGAGATGAGAAAAGTCAATTGGACCCACTGCCATGTGACAATTGATTCCTGTGACAGGTCCTTGGTGGCCTTCAAAAATTTCACCAATGCCAGCTTTACTGCAGGAAGAAGAGATATTTACATGTGGAGAGTCATTTAACACCTGGTGATTTAACATAATTTTTCTTTACTCTGGGGTTCCTGTTTCCTTTTAAAGTTCTATTTAACCTATAAATCTCTCTCCTTTCTCTAAGGCTTTTGCCTACAGAGGGAAAAATGCTCAGAATCCAGCACAGGGAGACTTTCTCTTACCTGAAGACTTGCCTTACTCACTTCTACATATACTGTCTACTACTGTAGCTTGAAGTAACATTTATGTATAATTATAAAATAATTCCAAATTGTAATTATACTATAGCTTATGCCTCTGAGTAAGCCATTATCACAAGGAATAACCATTAAAATAAAAATGCAAATATGTTAATGACTTATCATGAGCAGTTCTTTTTCTCTTAAATATCTAGAATAACTTTCCACAGCAGTCAATCAAGTCACTAGGAAGCAAATGTTTTTTCACAATAACTGAAGGAACTGGTCCTGTGATCAGGTATCATACAGTCATTACTTTTAACAAGGGGAGATGTGCGTTTCATCAGCCTGAGGCTAGAATACCTATTAGGAAGGAAAAATACAACACTGTGTAAGAGAGAATGTGCAGAGTTTTTTTTCTTCCTGGAAGCAAATGATGCCAGCTCAGTTGTCAGTGCTGTCTCACAGTGTACACAGGAAAGGGAATCATAAAATTACCCTTTTAGTTAGATTATAGAAAAACTGCAAGTGAAAGAAAATACATTAAAAATAGTCACAGCCCTGATGAGGGTGCCAGCCCTGTGCCAGTGTGAGTACAGTGTACTGAAAGAGATGTGGAGCTGCAGCAGAGGAAATTGGTCCCTACCAGTGCAGTGTCCCCTCACCTCCCTTGTGTGGACAGAGTGACCTCCCTTGGGCTCCCCTGCCAGACCTCGCAGCATGTGCTGGAGCAGGGGCCAAGTCCTGCAGTGCCTCTGCAGTGCTGGATGCAAAGCACTGGATACATCTTGCTGCATCCCCAACTCTGTGCCATGTAGTCAGTGGGATAAGGGGAGTTCTGGAGCACTGAGAACACCTTGGGTATTTGCTGTGCTTTGACACACATTTTCCCAGATAACATATGGCTTTCCACTGTGCAGGGCTGAAGGACACAGAAGCCTCTGGAAATAAAATGGGGATGGTAGCAAAAAGCTCCAGGCAAGGCAGGCAGGAGCAGAAAAGCTTTTGTCAATGGTCAGTAGAAGGTTTGCTAAAAGGGTGTGCTAACAAGACCTTCTCCCTCTTGTGAGCAACAAACCAGGCATGTCTGAAAAATCAGAAGTGAGAAATGCCCATGGGCATGCTTCCTGCATCTTATCAACCTAAGATTAATTCAAACCATCAGCAGCCACACAGCCTATCAGTACATGCCTAAATAGACACAATTTTGCAATACTGCCATCGGTCAGGCTAAAATAAAATATGTTAAAATAAAAAAATACCAAACAAAATAACTTCAAACAGTATTTATAAAACATTAGGGATGCATAATAGAAGCCTTACAACCTTAAACCAGTGTATCAATGTCCCTTTGGTCAACAGAAACTCCAAATATGATAAAATGTGAATTCAGAGAATATTGGAAACTACTGAAGTGTGGGCATGAGCTCTATCAGTACAAAAATTTGTTCTTTACAAAAGCATTTCAGAGGATGGAACTGCTACTGGAAGGTAATAGAGCACGTTAGCATCCTGCAGATTTGCAGGGTACAAAACAAGGAACTTGCAGTTTTAAACTGCAACCTGAGTTATGTGAGGAAAGGATATGACCCCCATGTGTGAGAGAGCACAGGATCCTGGGAGCAAATTCAGCAGAGCTCTCAAACCCATGTGGCCCACTGCAGCTAAATCCATGCTAGCAAAAAGACCGGGCAGCAGCCCAGACTGAGGGACAGAGGTGTGGGTGGCTCCTGGCTGAACAACAAAACCCTGTCGCTCTCCTGGAGAGGGTGGGCATGTCCAAACTGCCCCCTGAGAGTGGGGACCAGCAGAGCTCTGTCTCTACTCTCACTGTACAGATGCAGCGTGAACTGCTGCACAGGAGTACCTGGAACCAGATGGCCAGGGATGGGAATCTGCATTCTCTCTTTCTCATGTGCACAAGTGCCCATGGTGACTTTTCTCTGATTTATGCTTTTGGAGTCTGAAGATGGAGCGGAGAATGGTAAAAAATAAAGCAGATTACCATCTCTTATGAGTGGTTGAGGCCTGATTACCCTGCAACAAAACTGTCTCCTAGGGCCTCATTCAAGCTGCCCAGATAATAGATACCTACATCTCAGCTAGCTGTATAAGCCTCCATCTCATCTCATGGGTGAGAAAGAGGCATTTCTGAAGTCCCAGTCATCTTCTCTTTAGATGTCTGAAAAAGGTAAAGGAAGTTAACCTAAGAGTACTTATTGGTCCCCACCAACCACACAGGGAGCCTGGGGTAACTACCCCAGTATAACAGCTTGTAGCACAGATGCTCAGAGTCAGGCAGCTCCTGTCCTCACTCCCCACACACACGTGGCTACCTCTCGCCAACACAGGTACGCAATGTTATATCAGTACAAAATGTTGAACCTCACCTTCCATGACGACAAGCTGTGTAGACTGTTCCCTCTTCACTGCCAACGACAAAGTTATTGACATCTCCGGTTGGGAAAGCCATTCCTGTAACTGCCACTGGTTTGGACTTATTGTACACAAGCTCCATGCTTTCCTACCAAGACAAATTTTTGTTATTATTCTGTTTGTTATTTGTTAGTCTGGGTTGTTTGATTTTTTTTTTCCTAATTAATTTCTAAATGTTGCACAGAGTAGCAGGAGAGTAAGATGAAATTATTTGACCCAGTCACAGGACTTTGGTTTCTACTTGCAATATTGTGAGAAGATGCAATGTTACTAGGATGCTCCTGCCATCCCCAATGCTATCTGTCACACATTTGAGACTGGCAGGAAGGCACTGGTCTTTCATGAATCATTTTAAATCAGGCAGCGATGACAGGTGAGAATTTAAACTCTGATGGTGCAGAAACTAAAGGTAATACCTTAATGGTTACACTTGCCAGCCCCAGACTCTAATAAATCATGCAATACCCTTCTATTTACAAATACTTTGGAAATCAATTGTTAGGAAGCACATGCAATATTGTGTGCATCTGAGGCATTTACTGCACTGTGTCATTTTTCCCTTTGCAGAACAAAATTAAAAAGTTGGGGTTCTGTCACTACCACCATTCTAAGCATTACTTTTCAGGGATTTTCTGAGGCAACCAGAAACACTCCCTCTAGACTCCACCATCAAGCTACAAACCAGCAGGAATGTTTTCTGTTTTCATTTGGTAGCTATATTTCAAAGTAAATCAGCATGCTCATTTTTACTATTGCAAATACAATCACCAGTTTGTGGCCATTGCAAGATGCTAACACTTTGAGCAGACTTTGCACAACATTTTGGTTTTTCAGCCTAAATGGTGTAACCCAAGAATCCACAAAAGGGCTGAATGATTTCACCATTTTCATTTTTAGCTATTTAAGTGGGTTTGTTTTCTATGTTTAAAGTGTTTAAGCTGCTATTCTTCTATGGCCAAAGCCTGTAGGGTTTTTCTCAGAAGGGTTCTTGTTCTGTAACTAAAGAAAGTGGGTGTCCCTGTGAGAGGAGAGCAATGCAAATCCATAGAGAAATAGTTTTGCTTGGTTTATATTTTTCTTTGAAATACATTTGATTCTATTACAAAGGCAAAACATGGAAAATGTATGGGGAGAACACTCCATATTTCTGTGAATATGTGAGTGAGAGAGACAGAAAGAGAGAGAAAAAATTCAGTGAATAGGGGAGACAGACCATGTATTTTTATGAAAATCTTCTGGGGTAAGATCATCATTTAGTGTCTCTGTGGAGACATGGCCATAGACTGTGGTGGACTCTCTCCTCCCAGCGCCCACACCACGGCTGTACACAAGTGCTCTGGATCTGTGTCTTTGGAAAGTTTCAGACTGACACACATCAGCAACACTTTACTCCTCCCAATTTAAAACTATGGCATGTAGCTTGACGTCAAGCTCTATGCCTTTCTTTTCTAGATCACCATGAGCCATGTGCCAAACTTCAGCGTAATGCGGGGTGTGTTCCCATCCTTGTTGAGAGCCCGTTTTGGAGCAGGGAAATTCCATCTGAGTGATGAGGTAACTGGAACTCAGATGTTCAAAGATCTGTGCTTCAGAATTTAGCATTCCAGTAAACGAATGCATAAGGGTGGGATTTCTCTTCTTGATGTTTATATGAGAAACAAGGGAAGGGATTCGGGTGCCTGAACATAGATATCTGGGCCATTTTAGATGCCTCCACTTCTATTGCAGAAGAGTATTGGTTTTTCATAGTCCCAGGGCACAACTACCAGACCCATACTGCTGCCTTGGGAAACACGAGCAACGTGGTTAAACTTTGGAAACTGGCCTCGCTTTGAGTAGGGGAGTAGATGGGATAACTTCCAGAAGCCCCTTCCACCCTAAGATTGGACAGTTCTGTATCCCAGGGGGGATATCTGAAATGGCATTTCACACTTGGGTGGGATGAGTCATTCTCCAGAAGTACCAGTCTCTCTCTGTGTAAAATATAAAGGAAACTTGAATTGCTATCTTAGACTTGACATGGATTCAACTTTTAGATGGCTGAGGTTAGGACAGAGAAGTCCCACCTCTTGTGTCAACACTGAAAAGCAAATAATTTGATAGCAATTGCACATTAATGCATGATTAATGGATGGTTAATGGAATCAGTAAGGGGAGTTTCTATGCAGCATTTTGAAACAAGATGAGATCCCATGATGCTTAGTAAAAATGATATTAATTTTCTTTTCTAAGAAATTATGTATAAAAAATGAATGATGTGTTAGAATAGAAAATGTACTACTCCAGAAGATAACACTTAAAAGATGCTTTCTGTACATCTTTTTCAGCATCGGATTCTTTGTTTAGTTTCCATTATTATAATCACTAGTGGTTTGGGCAATTTTCCTGTGTTTCCTTTTATTTCAGGTACAAAGGAGGGGAGGGGAGGAAAAGACAATGGTAGCAAACATTCCAGGAGAGGAGATTAGTTCTAAAACTTTTGATTTGCATTGTTTGTTCCTTTGGCTACTGAAGGCAGGCAGCAAAGTAAGCTTTCTGACTGTGTGCCTTGGAAACCCGTAGTGCCTAGGGTGTGTTCAGCAGCAGTGCAATCTAGTCCATATTTGTTAAACAATGCTGCAGAATAAGTGCGATTTATACCACAGGCGACTTCTGTAATTACCGTGCTTTAAAATGGACTATTTCATTTTCACTTGAAACTGACCTATGTATTAACGCATTACAATAATTACATGATTTGTGGTAAAGGAAATGGGTTTGGCTCTTAGCAGAGACTGCTGGAAGCAAGCTGTACTCTTTCAAGTGCATCCATTGGCTTTAGTTTGTATAGGATGTGAGGTTTTGGCTTTTAGGAGCTGTGTTCCACTACACAGGTATCCTGCTCTACTGAAGGCACTTTTTTTCCCCTGTATAGATGAAAACAAACCCACCTGTGGAGTTGAGAGCATGTCCAGGCTCCAGGAGCACATTTTGCCATCCGTAGAGACGGTAATGAGATTGTGCGCGTTCTGTGTCCCAACTACATTCACACAATACACAGGATGCTGAAAACACATTGACACTGGAAATCAGAGAGCCGTTCTCACATCTTCACAGACATATTTCTAATGTCTCATATGTTATTTTAAAGAACGATTAAGTAGTCACACAATGCCTGGAAAATACAAGACTCATCTTTTGCCAGAAAGGAATTGTTTTGCTTGAGTTTTTTTAATTTAAATTTTAAGAAGTATGTTGTGGAAGTGGAAATGTTTTCTAAGTTTCATTTTCCTCATAATAAAACAACCCAGCTGAGTAATGCTGAATTATGTGGATGAGATTTCACCCACAGGGACATGTATCATTCTACTGATGGCTTTTGACACAGAAAATAACCAGCAGAAAGAGGCAAATAGTCCAAACGGAATCAAAATGCAATCTTTATTCAAGAAAACAGCTGCATAAAACTTGAACTCTGTCAGAATTTGGCTTGCAGGATAAATATTTGCAAATGCACTCTGGTTGTAGAACATGAACCACCCCATCAGCATTCTTCAGCATTGGCCAATCCACTTTTTTGATTTTGTTATTATAAATGGGGAATGACTAAATTTAGGGTGTTACACCTGGTTCACCATAACACAGTCATTCCATGGAGGCTGAAATCCACATAGTATGCATAATGAAACTTGGCCTACTCCTTTTCCAAGAAACCTGGTAACATTTTGAGCCTAAAGTGTCATCTGATATCTGATGGTGACGTATGAGGGATAGGTCAAGTTCAGCAAACTGCAGAGTGAAAAATCAGTCAGTGTGAACAACAAGATTTAATTTCCTTTGACCTGTACAAGTGATACTGCTGAATTAAGGGTTAAACATATACAAAAGTCAAGCAAAGAAAAATTTATTTTCTCTGCTGTTTTTGCCAGTGAATAGAAGACCTGCGTTTCTAGAAAGAAATAACACTTTTCTCTAATACTTTCCTTATTTAAAGAAAATTAGGACCAACTTACAAGAGATCCCTATGGAGCTTCTAAGCCAACTCCATGCAGAGTTAGAAACACAGCATTTGCTCCTGCTGAAAGGAATGGCAGAACTACCACTTATGTCAGACTACTTCAAGATTCAGCTGCAGATCACTTAACCAGCTAGTGGGAAAAGGCATAAATCTTCAGAGCTCTGACCAGCTCTCAGGTTTGATACCTGAGTGCCCAGTAAATGTCCCCTCCCCAAGTGCAAAATGGGCAGCACCTGTATGAACATTGTTTGTGCACACATGGAGAGGGACTGAGCAATTACTGGTCTGCAATGGTACCTTGTGCTTGGAGGTCACCTGTACACACCAGTAAGTCACAAGGTCCATTCTGATGCTGATTTTTTTCTTTCTCTCGAGATTGTCTGGCCCCTGCTTTCTCCCAGACCATCAAATGGACCCTAAGTGGTCCCTCTCACGTGCCTTACACTGTTACCCTCATAAGATGGACCTTTTTTTTGCTTTGTGTTAAGCTAATGACCCCAGTGCTAAACATGATTGCTACATACTGATGTGCAAAATAAGCACAGGCCTATTTTTTTCATGGGCATTTGAACTCCAGTAGTCCAAAGAGACAGAGTGGGTGGGAGGAAGCCAAAGCAAGCAGTGGACTATCTAGAATATTTAGCAGGGAGGAAGACAGTAAGCCATGTCTTTCCAGCAGCACCTCAGTGTGTCAGATCTGGCTTTAATCAGGGCTATGAGCCATCAATTTCATGCGCAATAAAACTCATGGCAGAAATGAAAAGATGTAAGGAAAGCGGATGAATAAGACAACCAACTGTATGTAACAGAAAGTCTAAACAGGCTCCTTCCTTTCAAAGGGTTGCTGCCAGCTTGCTTTTATTTATTTTGGAAATGAAATCATCATGCAAAAGGGTTTTGTCTTAATTAAAATTTCCTGTTGTCCCAAGTGCAGATGTGTGGTGGGTGTGAAAGGAAATTAGTGAGTAAGCTGCGGGTAGAATCCTCTTTCCTGGTGAATCCAGGCAGTAATCAGTGATACTAAATTTCAGGAAGGTTTAAGGGAGTGAAAACAACATGATCTATCTGTTTGAAATAAACAAAGCAAGAGAAAGAAAAGAGAAAAACCCTTTTTTACAGCATGAATTCAAATTAAAAATGACTATTCAACTCACATATAGCAGTACATAAAGTAAGATTGTTACAGTAGAGTTGTCTTAATTTAATTCTTTTTTTTTTTGTTCTTGGCAGCTAGGATTCAAGCTAGCCTTTTGCAACCAAGACCTCATTTGCAGTTTATGTAAGTAATTCCTATCTATAAACATAAAGTAAGCACTCTTTTATTGTAAAATCTGATCACTCCTTAAAAAAAAATCACGCCTCCTCATGTTAAAACTGTTTAAACACTTATTTATACCAATCCGTGGCAGCGCATAAAAGTGCCCATCCACAACCGAAAGTAATTTATTTATATTTGTCAAAAGCAAAACAGCACATATTTCTCTATTGCAATAATAAAACTACTTTAATATATAATTCCAGGAGGTACAATTTTGCCTTAAGCAATTTTCGAGTGTAAACAAATTACTTCCCATTAATCTTTGCTTTTCCACTAGATTTTGAGTCCCAGTTGTTCAATTTTCAGTGATAGTCAGCTTCTTGCCACTAGTTTTCTGGTCTGCTACATCTCTAAATTGCACTTCCAGGAGAGACTGTTACTTTTCATGCAGATTGAACAACATTATTGGCAACAAAATGAGCAAAACATTAGGGAAATGAAAAGCAATGTTGAAGTTGCAACCCATGGCACAGATCATTAGATAATTACATCAACATTCATGATAGTGGAAATTTAGGGAATAATATTTGTATTGCCTGGCCCACTAAGTTTGTCTGTGCACACCTGTCATTTTGTAATGTAAGAGACTGGCCATCATAATACTGGCTCCACACTGAATCTTTTGCATCGATTTACATGGCATGGCTTCTAGAGCTGTCTTTTAACTCCAAGGGTTATGTTGTCACAGTCAACAAAAAGATGAACTTTGATATGCCAATTCCAAAGATTAGAATCACAGAATTGTGAAAGCTGGAGGTGCAGAAGTACCATCACATTGTCCAATCCTTCACTCTGCTAGAACAAGATTACTATCCTACCTCTTATAGTGCTTTGTGTAGTTTCTGAATTTTTTTGAATGTCTGAGTTTTCTGAATTTCTGAATTATTTCCTTATGTTTCTGAAAATCTGCATTTTTCTGCGCTCTTATATCATACTTTATATTTTTGTCCTCCTTTCCACTTTCCACTAAGAAATTGCCCTAAGCCCACTTCCAAGATGAGCTCCTCCACTTTCCAACTTTTCTGAAGAGTCTGCCTAAGCCTAAACTCTGGAGGACAGCTCAAGAATGCACAACATCTTTGTTCAGAATCAACTGGAGGTCAGTGCAGTAGCAGAGTGAGGACACTTTGGCAGGTAATCCAGGCTCGTCTCTTCCTCCAGCACAATAGTCTCTGACCACAGACATCACCCTTGTATCACAGAGAAACTCTTCCTTTTCAGGCATTTTGTGTTACTACTCTGTGTGGGTATCTCCCAGATAATATTAGAGACCATTTCCACTATCACTATCTGCAGGTACCTGTATGTGTCAGCAAAATGTTCTCCCACATCATTCTATGGAAACAAACTGGCCCCCAGTGCACAAGCTCTACCCTACGGCCCCGTCTGGAGCAGGAGACCATGGCAGGCATTTATGTATTCCTCAGTTAGAAAACAGAAGCAAACTGTCACACTCTTTTAAAGGGCACCAGTGTGACTTACAGGACTCCACTCAGATCATCATAGGTGCCTAATCTGGTTCAAAGGAGAAACTTGTGTACACCAAGACAATAACAAATGATTCAAATTGTCTTCTATGCTGGCCTGACAGACACAGTCTCTATAGTGACCTGGCTGTCTTTACAGGCAACAGAGAGCAAGAGTTACGGTGCTACTCAGCTGGCACAAAGGTGCCTCACTCAAGTGTTGTACTCAATCCTGCCTTTTCCTTGGAAAGGAGAATAACCTCCTGACTTGACTGTATGAAGTGTGATGGTTAAGCACTCACAGGAAGTGATTGTACATCTCTCCTACCTATTTCTTTCCTTCCAAGGGCCTCACTTACGTTTTCATCTGTGTGGCAACCAGCACTGTAGACACAACTATACAGTTCCATTTCCTTGCTGACCATTTCCTCGCTGACCATTTCCTCTTAGGAAAGGAGGAGTTGATTTCTGTCCTTACCGTGTGAGCAGCAGCAGATAAGGGAGTTCTCTGAACTGGAGTGCGCCTGTGACTGCGATTATCCCACAAGACAATTTGGCCAGAATATGTTCCACCGACAACCAAGTTTGGGTGAAAGCGGGCAAAACAGACCGACATCACAGAGGACTGTAGTAAAAGAAGTAGAGAAGAGATGGGTTACATGATTAGTCATCTTCAATGCTCTCCTTAGGGAATCATATGGTAATTAGCATTTTGTGTTTTAGGAATCACTGTATGAACTCTGTTCATACTCCTTACACACCAGTAATTCTACTAAAGCCAACAGGACACATGCAAAGAGCTAACTTTGACCCTAAAATGCGTTATTCCACTGGTCCTCGGGAAAATATACACCAAAGGGTGAGTCTAAGCATGATGCTAAAAACCTGAGATAACCTCTCCATGACAGTGATGGGAAAGTGCTTAATTTCATTTCCAAAAATGAGAACTTCAAGTAACCAGATACCAGCTGGACAGAGGTTGACATCCTGGCCCATCAGGGAGAGCTGTTCCCCTACTGCTCCCTGAGCTCTCAGGCAATGAGATGAGTCTGTGAGAGACCTTCCAGAGTCCAGCTCAAGGTGTGCTGTCCTGAGAGCATCAGCTGACAAGCTGCATCTCATTGTTGGATCCACGACTGATCTCTCTGCTGCCAAGGTCCTCTTGTAATCGCAAAGGGAACCCCACTATGCTTTATACCATTCAAGCAGAACTCAGCTTTTCCTCGTCTTAATGACAGCTGAGTTGTCTTTGTATATTTTCTTTAGTTGGGGATGGTGACGAACCAGACTGGTATAATGGTTACCCTGGCTACCTGATAGAGTGCCCCACAAGCCAGTATGAAGATGGGTATCTCTCCCAACTACTCCTTCCCAGCATCTTTAAAATAACATACTATAACTGAAATCTTCAAGAGAACAATCCTCAGAATCTTCATGTGCCAACAAGCTACAGCTGAAAGCAACAAGCTGTAACTCCTTCAAGTCTTCCATTCTCTTCCTAAGGAATTATTTCCTATTTTTATATAATTGGTACTGGATGCTATGTCTTTGTATGAATGCTGTAATATTTGCTTTCCAATTTGCATAGAACAATTTCCTGAGAATTCACATACTAATAAAGAGAGTTTGCAAACAAAAGCAAATGTCATTTTTTAAATGGCAGTTTTAGTGATGTTTACTAGCCGCAGAGTAAGACTTGAACTGCTGTGGCAATTACAATCAGAAAGTTAAATTCACTGTTAATTGTTGCATTCTTTAAAAACCCATTTTCTGGATGTTCCCAGTGAGTTTTGCTAACAAATATTTTTTTTTGTATTTTAATGACTGTGTTGGTGTTTTAATGTTGTCGTTCCTAAGTGGGAACACACTTTACTCAATGACAAAGGGTTAACTAAATTACCAGTTTTCAGTTGCATAAAAAGCATGGCAGACATTTAAGTAAACTTTGTTGAATTGGGAACATCATAGCTGCCAAACTGAACTAGACTCAATGTCTACCTAGGCCCTGTTTCTGGCAGAAGTGGACGGAGTCGTGAAAACTTTGACATAGGCAGATGTGTTGTCTCCTTTCCTTACTGCTCCTCATCCCGATTTCTAGTGGCTATAGACTGATTTGAACTTACCAGACACTTGAAATCCCTTCTGATAGGGCTAGAATTAATTATGCTAATTCTTGATGTTTATAACTAGATTAATAAGGATAAAGCAAAAGATGAAGTTTGAATACTTTTTACTTGCTGCCTGATATCTATTGTTTAAAGACAGATTATATGCTAAATTAACTTAATAGACATATTTATAGCACATAGCATTATATTTAATACTGGCTTTTTGACCTAGTAAGATCATCAAGACAATGAAAAAAGCTGTCATTGATTTTTTTTCTTCCCCAATCTCTCTAGATTTTTGTGGCCATTCACTTGACATCTGTGATACCTTTGCTTGTTGACTAAAGCTTTTTCATATATTTCTCTGATGTTAGTCTGGCATCTAATGATTAAATGATTAGTGTACATAAATGCCTACTTTAGTCCATATCTATCTAAGTGCTTGAGCTTAGTAATTACATGATGGTCAGTCACAGCAACGAGAGGTAGCTTCCAGACACCATTTCCAAAGGATCTAGCTTTACAGGAAAGAAACCCCACCTGTAAGGAACAAGATGTGGGTACTGCTAAGAGCAGTTTAAAAACTCAGCTACACTGCAGCTGCCATCCAGTTCCACAGATGCCCCCCACATTATAATTAAAATGGCCTTACAGCACATGTTCTACATTTTATCTCTTTGTTTAATGGCTTCATGAGTTGTTTTAATCAACCCCTATCATTCCTTATAACTAAGCTGACAGATATTCTTACATGAAATGAAATAGCCAGATGATTTTAAAATAGTACAGCTCCACCACTGTGTACACCCCACAGCAGCTACAAGGCTCCACATGTATTTTAAGAAACCCCAATTCAAACAGTCATTCCACAACAAAGTTCTCAGTTTGTCCCAAATAAACCTGGGAGACTCTGAAGCAGGCCAAGGAAGCCAAGTGGACAGTGTATTTTTAAACATTCTGTTTTCATGGTTAGCATGTTTTGGAGTTCAGAATGCCAGAATACAGTTGAATGGTCAGGATATAAACTGCTAAAGTGTGTTTTTCATAAAGTTCAAAAATAACCTACAGACATGACACGGAGTTAAGCCCTCTGCACTGCTTCTAGTTTTACATATTGCTCCAAAGTATCTTGCAGTCTTCAAATGGTGAAATGCTCACATCCTTTTAATTATTTCAGTATTATTTTTCTATCAAAGAAAAACTTCTGTCAAATATTAGAATTTAACAATTTAAGGACTCCACTCCATACCACTTAGTATAGTGATTATTTTCTTAAAATTAATGGCAGTTCTCAGATGAGTAAGGGCTGTAAGATCAAGCCCATTCATTTCACAGCTTTGAAAGCATTCATTTCTTAGCCATAATGGGAGAGAGCGTCAGACAGGTCTCCAGTCTGTCTGAACAGCAATGTGCTCAAGGAGAGCTGCAGAAACCATTACCTATAAGCTTCTTTGCCTCCAGGCTGCCTCTTGTTTGCCCATTCAAGTAGTCTTGCTCCTCTAAGAGTTTTGCCACTGACTTCAAAGGGGGAGGATCCAGCACATGGTGAAGTTTTCAAAATAACAGCATATCCCCTGTTGCAGTTCTGCCACACCTTTCTAGGGAAATTTCACAGTTCTTTCCAGTAACAATGGTAAAGCTTCACAATTTTTCAGTTAGGGACATTTTATGCTTAGTTGGTGCTTAGTTATATGTTGTAGAGGACAGAAGCAGCTAGTTCCGTAGTATATGGCAACAGTACATAAATAAGTGTAAGAAGAATCACGTCAGAAGGCAATTCCATGGGGAGTTTAGTGTTCACAGTACAAAAGCAACATTTAGAATGGGAGATTCCCAGCATTATCTTTTTATGGGTGCCACAGAGCACCTGTATCTTTCAGCTGCTGGGACTCACAAGAAATGGACAAACTCCAGTGTCTAGTCATCTGCATTTCTCTGAATTGCACTGTACAGTGAATAATTTCATTATCTACTTTAGCTTAATGCTCAGGTATTTTCCCCCTCTATGCAAATACAGCCTACTGGATTTTGCTTTCTCTGTCTCATTTTAACTTTCTTAGTGGCCTTACTAAAGGCTTCTTCTGGTACTTCTGGCTTTGCGATCTTCCACCCAGATGTTCTTCTCCAAGTGGAGCCACCACCCTGGTGCTGCTGCCTCATCCCCTGTGCATGCTCTGCCTCTCTGTGGCGATGAGCAGCTAGCTCTTCAAGGGCCAGGGGAGCCAGCCTGAGTTAATTCCAGGTGGGAGCACTGCCCAAGGGCGAAGCTCAGACTGGCAAACCTAGGGATTTTTGCCTGGAAAACAGGCAATCCTGCTTCCTGAATGCTAGAATTTCTGCTCCCAGTTGCTAGAAGAACCGCACTGAAAACACAATTAAGAAACAAAACATGAAATGTCTGTGCTCTTGTCACAGCAAAGAGAGGGCTGGCATCAGAAACAGAAATGTTACCTAGCCCTTGGAGAGGTCTGCACTCAGAGGCATGAAGGAAGCACCCCTGGTCCCCTGCCTTGGTGGGATCAGGTTGTCTCAGCCTGTGGGGAGCAGCACTGTGGAACCACCTCTGCCTCCCCCCTTCTTCCCTCTTCCCTCCCTGCTGATGCACTGATCCAAACAGGCCCCAAGCCCTCTTCAAGTGGCTGGAAAAGCTGGTTTTTATTTTAAAGCTTAATAGGGCCCAGATTTGGATTAATGGTGGTGTATCCCTTCAACCACAGGTACACGTGCTCGGAACAGACAGTCATTTAGCTTCTCCTTACTGAGAGGCCTAACCTCAGTACCCACATCTGATGTGTGTAGGGCCCTGGAGACTGAGCTGTCTCTGCTCATGTCCGTACGTTCGGATGGCACTCTGCCCAGCCACCAGTCGAACAAGTTCACAAAGACCTGGGTGCTAAACAATAATGACTCTCAGTAGGCTTCTGCCTTCAGCCAGACCTCTCCTGCAGGAAACCACTCCCGGAGCCAGCGCTGCCATACTGGTGCCATATGCCTACGCTTGACACCAGATGGATCTCAAAACAATACTTTGTCAGTGGGAAGAAGCAATCTGAGGAGTTTACAGGCATTTCTAGGCTCCAGAACACCAGGTTATACTGCAGCAGGCACTCAGGAAACTCCTGGGTGTACTTTCTGGCTGAGCAAATACATCTGATAAAGCACTGCCGTCAGTGTTATGCTGTTCTGGGTCAGTCTGACAGACAGCAGTGGACAACGAAATCAACTGCAGCTGAGATGAAGGGACAGATCCTTGTCCATGCTTGAGGGAATTGGCTTAGAGGGACTGAGAGCAGAGGGACAAAGCTGTGGTACTGCTGCTTAGCTAGAACCATGAAAAGGTGCCAAACTCGTAGTCCTTCATCCATAGGAACTGAAGAACAGGGACTGGACCTCTGATCACCTATACCTGCCCTCCTGAGGAATAAATAAAATAAAGAGAAAGACCAAAACTACACATGCAATTTACTCATAAACTTTTGCTCTCACCCCTGCTCATCAAAAGCAGCATTTGAAGTCT